GCTTACACTACATCAATTTTCCAATCCTTCTTTTTGAGTTTATGAACTAAAGTGAGTTCTGATTATTCTAATAACTCTGAACATTGAGTGATTAATAAATAGGAATATAAATGAGAGTTACCTTCAGGAACAGGGTGAGGACCTCCTCCTTCTTCCGGTTCATCTCCTCCTCAGCCTGAGCTCTCTGCTGCAGGAACATCAGCCTCTCCTCCTCCGTCTTTCCTACAGCTTTTCCTGCTCCACCTTTCTTGGCTTTCTTCGGCATGATTACTCTTCTTCCTCCTCTGGTTCAGCAGTAAGGGATTATGTGTGAAACAGGGGCATGAGTGAGTCACTCATTCTTCAAACAATAACACATAAGACTCAACCTTGAAGTGATGAACACATGAATGTATACACAATTATAATACAATAACATGACTTGTGATATTCTGCAATGGGCCTTCTGCATAAGGTGTTTTAGTTTTAGTTTTGGTAGTTTAAGTAGCCTACATTTTGATCCTAATAATAACAACAACAACAACAACAACAACAACAACAGCATAGAACAGATCACAAATTAAAACAGAAAACAATACATTCACTTCAGGTCAAATGTTAAAACCATGGAGAATAAAAACATTTCAAGGGACATAAGGAGGTAATATACTTATGTTTTGAATGCAGGACATGTACAATCTCCACTGTTGTTTTGGTACTTATCATTAGCATTAGCTAGCCTAGCCTTAAAACAATGCTAATTTAGCCAAGGTGAGCTAAAGTAAAAACAGTCTTTATCGTCTCCCTTTGACGTAAATGTAACACCCAAGACAAAACGTTGTTCAGGCTTTAATAGCGTCACCTTGTGTAGAATACATAGCCTGTATAAAATAGGTTAAATCAATAACGTAAACTTACTTTAGGGATCAAGTTGTCGGACTTTATTTACGCTGCAACCGTCAGTGGTGTGTGTGTTTGAGATCAGTCTCCATGGCAACAGCTACAGAGAGAGACAGACGAGTGGACATTTTGGTCTAAAAACAACTTTTAGATCAAATTAATAAAATACAAATGTGTTTAGCCCCGAGGGAATGTGTAGTGTCGCATATTCTGCGAATATAAAACAGTTTAAGATGTAAACAATAAGGAGGAAATCCAAAATATATAGACAACACTATAGTTTTGGATATTTTTTGGCATCAATTTGATTGTGTTGATGCTTAGGCATAGGCTACATTACAAGATTACATTGCATTTAGCTGACGCCTTTATACACAGCGATTTACAATTACCATACAGGGACATTCTCCCTGGAGTAACTGCGGGCTAAGTGCCTTACTCAAGGGCATACTGGTGGTGTTCCAGTCGGGATTTGAGCTCGCAACCTTTCGATCTTCAGCGCACCTCACTATTCAATATTAGACCACCACTACTACCCTACCTATACATTTGAGATATAATAATTTCCTGTGAGTTTTGGAAGTGTAATCTCAGTTTCTTTACTACAGTCATTCTATAATAAGTACCGCGGTGAAGTTTTAGGTTGGATCAGGGCTGGATATTCGACAGACATTCGCGGACCCTCCAGCAGCTTCATTTCCCCCTGCTGCTGGCTGTATTACGAGGGGGAGATCTTCTCCGCGAAACGAGGCTTTCACTTAGGGACCATCATCGAATGACTTTTACAATTACACGAGAAAAATGTTCTTTTTAATAAATCGACAGCGTCCCGATCGTGTGAATGTGAAGCAAATGCACTCAGCATACATTTATTGAACACACCTCTTTTTATTGCATTTTAATACTTTAAATACGTTTTATTAATATTTGGATGGAAACATTTGCATATTTCTTCAATAACTTCTAGGTCATGTGACATAATGACTCAAAATCAGTGCTGGATCAAATAACTACATTTGGCTGCATAGGACACACCTCTTTTTATTGCATTTTAATACTCTAAATATTTTTTGTATTAATATTTGTATGGGAAAATGAGCATATTGCTTCAATACCTTCCAGATTATGTGGCTTAATCACTCAAAATCAGTGCTGGGTCAAAGAACTACACTTGCTGCATATGACACACCTCTTTTTGTTGCATTATGTCACCTAATCACTCAAAATCACTTTCTGAATGTAATACTAGTCTTTACACTATAGAGTGGTGCAGTGACGAGTCCTATAACCTATAAAATCACCAAAAATATTTGGTGATAACCTTCTTAAAATGTTTTTGAAAACATTGTTAGAACATTATGCCCTACTGTTCTTAAAACGTTTTCACCAGAAGCTTTTATTTTGGTTCCCAGAATGTTCTTCTGAAAGGTAGGATAACGTTCTCTAAAAACATTCTTAAAATGTTTTTGATAACATTGTTAGAACATTATGGTCTACTGTTCTTAAAACGTTTTCAGCTGCAAGTTAGATTTGTTATGTTGTCAGAATGTTATTATTTTAGAGAAGGATAACATGGTTTGTGTTAAAGAAATTATGCAAATGTTCTATGGTAACAATTTACTAAAATATGTTTACATTATTTGAACATAAAGACATAATATTCCTGCAATTGTTCAACTCAAAATTCCTGGGTAAGTGGACTGACCACTGTGGTCATTAGGATGATTATGATAGTTTACTTAACTATTGGAATTTGACTATTAACACATGTAAAAGGATGACACGGAATCAGCTGGTGAAAGCAACATTTGTTTATTAGAAAAGGGGACCTGGGAGTGGAGGTTGGTTATGGCGGCAGTGGGAAACAGTTGTTCCAGGGTGGGTAGAGAGGCCTGGTTGGTCTTGGGAGTGTGGAAGGCCTTGGATTCCTCCTGGGAGAGACACAAAAATCAGTGTGAGGCAAAAGCAGGCAAAGTTGTCAAAGAATATGCTGGTAAAAAGCTAGAGCGGCACGCAACAAACCGTTCACAGCAACAATCCGGCAGGGAATGAGTGCAGGCTGCAGGCTTTCATAGTGTGGCTGACGAGCAGGTTGCAGGTGTGGTTGATTGGAGATTGCTCCC